ATACAATCACACGAGCGTTTGGCCTATAGTCTCTAAAATGTGATGTTTCACACTCAAACCACTGTAGCATACTTGCTCCAGTAAATGTAAAAATCTTACCAATAGCATGTTAATGCTCATTTATAAAATTGATGGATCTAAGATGTATCCACCAGAAAGTTTAAAAGAAATACACTGACTTTGTCTGCATAGTTACACATTGATGTGCACCGTCACAACTGAAATTTAAGTAATAAAGACTGGTCTTGGGGTCTACATATCCCAATGGCAACAGACCCCAACTGACCTTGGAAGCTAAGCTGAACCAGCCCTTCTTAGTCCTTGGATGGGAGACTACCAATGAATATCAGCCATTGCAGACCCCTCTTCAGAGGAAGGACCTAGCAAAGTATTCTGAGTTTCCTTATCTGAGAAAACCCTATGAAGTCAACAGGTGACTTGAAAAAAAAAACCACACACACATGAAGCACAAGGAGCCAGCATGGTATAATGCTCTGGGCATTGGAAATAAGTTTAAATCTCTCCAATGGAAGCATATTAGGTGACCTTGGGCAAGTCACATTCTTTCAGTCTCAGAGGAAGACAATGGCAAACCTCTTCTGAGCAAATTTTCCCAAGAAATGTCTGTGATTGCTTGGAAATGACCGGAATACACATAAAAACAATAAATAAGATAGAAATCCAAGATGTCCAAAGTTTAAGCACACTATTTTGTAAACATTCTTTGTGGGGGTTTCATTTTTCAATCAGTCTCAACTCTAACACCAAATGTGAAGTTTCTTCTTTTATATGAGGGTTCTACCCTTTATTCCATTTCTATGGTCACCAAATGTAGTTCTCCTCCCAAATGTTTTGTGATTTTTTTGTGAAATTTGCATATGTACACATCAGACCCTTAATTAAAATGAATACAGGAAACACAACAGCATGTTGTTTCAAGCCTTTTTTTAAAAAAAAACCTGCAGTCTTTTATTCCTTTGAAAAGGATGAGCTGTAAACCCCAAATTGTTGTATCCCATTTTATATCATCTCTTAAATTTTTTTCCCAAATAAATATTGTTTTCAAAACAAAGCAGCTAATTTGCATCCTTTATACTCGGATCAAGGTATTGAACTAATATGTATTTCTATTTTTTCTTACTTCCCAGGAATTCTATCTTTGGTTTTCATCATGAAAAGTGAATCATTTATTACCCTACAGCGCCACCTAGTATCTATTCATATCACTGTATACAATTAAAGAGTGGAATAACCCTGGAATTGATTCTAGACTTATTTTATGCATGATTTCTGCCCTAAACTTTTGCTATTTGAAACAGTATTTGTTCTGAATACTGCTGCTAGTCCTAACGAGAGTAAACCCACTGAATCTATGGAATTTATCTATACGTTGACTAACTATTCAACAATTGAATTAATATGTCTACTCTAACTGGGTTTGACCAACAGGATTTCAGTATTTGTGTACAAGTTCCAAAGGCGCCATAACACAAAAAGCTAGCTGAGGCACCATATGGATTGACTGAATTACTTCAGAAATGTCAGTCAGTGCTAGACATAAAAAAGAGTAAGTTTCTGTTGCATAGGTTCCCTTACAGATTATAGACCAGGAGCCCATAAACTTAGGCCCATGGTAATTTACCCACCTTAAACCTTAGACTTAGGGTCACCCTGAGTCCGAAATGACTAAAATGACAACAATCCTAATTCACTTGACTATCTCATCAACCAAAAGCAGGCCCACACTTCCCATTGAAATACTGGTACATTTATGTTGGTTAAAATAGTTCATTTTAAATATTGTACTGCTATTTCATGTTTTGTGGGGATTTTTGGCACTACAAATATGCCCCTCCCCCAACAGTCTGAGGGACCATGAGCTTAAAAACTTTGAGGATCCCTGCTACAGACATTCTGTGGCATGAGAAATTCTGCATGTTATAATCATGTGTGGGGAAACTGCCTCCACACAGCAGCCAACAAGGAATTTGATGAGTGTAAAAATTCGAAGCATCCTGTCATGAAATCCTGAGTGACCTTGGGGTAGTCTCTCTCTCAACTTGAACTACTTCACACAATTGTTATAAACGGCTGGAGCCAAAAATGTATGTTTATACATGTATAAATGTTCCCAAGTGGTTTGTCAATTTATGAAAATCACATGAATTTTACAGGATTTCCCTAGGCCAGGAATACTCATAAGTGGTTTTGACAGTTCCTTCCTCTGAAATATAGCCTACCTGGGATTAAACCCAAAATTGAGCTAGGGGAAATTTGCAAGGGCAAAGGGTCCTTCTCTCCTGCTAGCCTCCACGCACCAACATCTGCTCTACAGAATCTTCCAGCCTTCTGGATCAGATTCTGGAGAATTGTATGTGTGTTGCAGGAATTCCCTTACCAGAATACTATTGTATGCAATCCATTGTCTTGATTATAATTAATAACACTCACACATCTCTATATGTTCGGTCAGCATAGTTTTTAGATCAATCTGTTGTTCAAGCTTATCTGATATTCTACTTTCCTAAGCCAAGGAGATTTTTTACACTGGCACATAAAACCTATTTAGATAAAGTATATAATGGAAGTTTATTGGGTATTGTATTATACCAGCTGGTATCAGTCTTTAAGAAAAAATCTGTATCATGAAAATACAAGAAACCCCCTGCATAAGTTATGAATCAGAAGAGTTTCCCTTCAAATTAGCTGTACTTTTGTTTTAATTTGCTGTAAACCATTTGGGGTCCTGTGCTGGGAGAAAAATGGAATATGAAATGAATAACTTTGAATTCTCTTATACACTTCCATATGTCTCTGCAGAACATAACTAAACAGGGCATAAAGAAAAGATGGGTATGTCTGCTTATGATAACAGGAAACAAGGATATGCCAGGTAAAGGTAAGGGATTCGGGTCAACAGTGCTGGAATATAAATTCAGTGCAGGTACATAGAAGATTCAAAAGACACATTGAAATCAGAATCACATAGCTGAACTGTAGCGAGAAAGACTGTGGTAACCATGCTGGTAGTGTGGGAAGGAGTGCTGAGGATAAGGAAGCAGATGACTGAAAGCTAGTTAGCTGGCATCTTCAAATAGCACAAATAAGTGCCAAGGACCTACTAGGTAAAAAAGACTACTTTTGTACCTTGTAGGGGATGGAAGGATTTTAAGGCCCTTTCCACATAGATGAATAAAATCCCACATGTTCTGCTTTAAATTGGAAAATAAGGAAGTGTGGACTCAGGTAACCCAGTTCAAAGCTGATATTGTGGGATTTTTTGCCTTGATATTCTGAGTTATATGGCTGTGTGAAAGGGCCCTAAGTCAATCATTGACTAAATGTTGAAAGGCTGTTGTGACAATACTATCTGAGAAATTGGGAGTGTGCTGCAGTTGAATCACTAAATTGAGTACTACAAGGCATATTTAAAGATGTATGTAGAATGTGATATATAGCTTGGGTCAGTGTTTGAGATAAATATTTTTACACTTTTATAGTTCTAAAAATCAAGATGTAAATTCATCATCTTGCTATGAAAACAAATGTTTTTCTAGAGCCACGTGTCACTTCAAGAAATTTAAGTGCACACACAAATTTGGATTTTTAATATAAAATTGATTTCTTTTCCAATATAAACAAATCTCTTACACACTGATTTCTCGGGAGATTAATGATCAAACAAGCTCTAAATTAAGATCATGTTACTCCTATTAATGGAGCATTAATACTGAGGAAACTCTGGGTCAATTTTGTTTGCCCAAGCCATGAGTCCTCCTTTGATATCCTTAACAGAGATTGTACCTTGTCCATCACAAGACAACCCTTGTAATAGTCTCACAGCCTTCTGAGAATCGTTTCCTAATTTGCAAACAACATAAACTGGAAAAGACGAGCCATTATTAGTCCTCTGCTTGGCCTCACTAATGGTCTGGCACAGAGTCTTCAAGCAATCTTCATCTTTCCCTTCTAGTTTACTTAAGGGTATATTAACGGAGTGTGAAAGGTGGCATATTTCCACTTCTACAGACGGTCGGACGTCGACCAGCACATGAAGAGCTTGGCTGTCGAGTATGTCTTTATACTCTTCAACAGAGATGCGCTCATCACCATTCAAGAGATGTAACGTGCGACACTTGTCCGTCGCTGAAGACCCACAGAAGGCTTCATAGTCCTGGAGGGTTGTCACGGAGGGGCGCTCCCCACATACAGCACAATCTGGATTCCTGGGCCTTAATTTAATGTGCCGAAACCGTCCTTCGAGGGCGTCAAAGAGCAGCATTGAGCGGTTAAAGGAAGTGCCCATCCCCGAGGCAATCTTGATCACCTCCAATGCCTGGAGGGACCCCAGAATGCCGGGAACAACCCCCAAGACACCACCATCCGCGCAATTGGTGACCGTCTCTGGTGGAGGTGGCTTGGGGAAAAGGCAGCGATAGCACGGCCCTCCTTGGTGGTTGTAGACCACGAGCTGCCCCTCCATTTTCAAGGCACTGGCGGACACCAAAGGCTTCCCCGCCAACACGCAGGCGTCGTTGACTAAGTAACGGGTGGCTACGTTGTCGGAGCAGTCGGCTACGATGTCGTAGGCCTCGACCAGCCTCGCAGCATTGGCAGGGCTGAGGGCCAACGTGTAGGCCTCACACTCCACTGAGGAGTTCAGTTCCTTCAAGGCAGAGGCCGCAGACTCGGCTTTGGAGAGGCCCAGGCGGCTCTCCCGGTGCAGGACCTGCCTGTGGAGGTTGCTCAGCTCCACCACGTCGTGGTCCACCAGGCCCAAGCGGCCCACTCCGGCTGCGGCCAAGTACTGGGCCAGGGGGCAACCCAGGCCTCCACAGCCCACCACCAGGACAGAGCAGGTGGAGAGGCCAAGCTGGCCGCGCATGCGCAGCTCCGGCAAAACCAGCTGGCGCGAGTAGCGCTGGATGTCCACGCGGCTCAGCCTCGGCGCCTCCGTCTCCTTGGCAACAGTCGAACCTTGAGCGCGCTCTCCTTCCGCCATGTTGGGCCTCTTCTCCCCTCAGAGACAAGCCAGGCCGCGCTCACGACCAGCTCCCAACAGCTCGCGAGGAGGAAGCCCCGCCTCTTCCGCTTCCGCCTTCGCCGTCATCATGGCGGCCTCCAGGGAGAAGTACTCTGTGCTGCTGCCCACCTACAACGAGCGCCAGAACTTGCCGCTGATCGTGTGGCTGCTGGTGAGGAGCTTCGAGCAAAGGTGAACCCAGGGAAAAGGCGGCGCGCCATTCCTTCATTTGTTTCTCCGCCACCCTACGCGAATGCCGCAAAAACCTGTCGGCAGGGCCTCGTTGTGTTCTTGTCTTCCAGTCGTTATGGGAACCCCGCCTGCTTCCTGTCTTCTGAGGCTGAGAGAGCGTGACTTGCCCAGGACTACCAGCAGAGCTTCCCAGGGTGCATCCACACTGTAGAATTAATGCAGTTTGACATCCACTTGATCTGCTGAGGCTCAGTGGTGTGGAATATTAGCAACTATAATGGGATGGGGTGTTAGTACTCTTTGGCACACTGCACTTGCCCTATAATCCTTACATATCACCTGTCACATCAGCACTTTTAACCTTGTACCCATTACTCTGGCCTGGCCCAGTTTTATAGTGTCTTGATGTATTGTTTATTGCTTGTTTAATATTGCTTTAACTGTTTTTAATTTAATCAGACCTCACTACCTCTGAGGATGCTTGCCATAGATGCAGGCGAAACGTCAGGAGAAATGCCTCTAGAACATGGCCATATAGCCCGAAAAAACCCACAAGAAACTGTTTTTAATTTGCTTTTAGTGTTGTATTGTTATGTTGTGTTTTGAGGCCTTGGCCTTTGTAAGCTGCATCGAGTCCTTCGGGAGATGCTAGCGGGGTACAAATAAAGTTAATAATAATAATAAGCTTAACAGTATTTCAGTGGAAGACCCCAGCCGTCATTCAGTCCAAACCTCTTTTGCTGTACCCCCCCCCCCTTTAATCTTCTGAGTTGATGCAATGTTGAGACTATTGTACTTCTCATAGGGCTGCTTCCTATAGACTGGTTCAGGCCTGGGCAAACTTCGGCCCTCCAGGTGTTTTGAACTTCAACTCCCACAATTCCTGACAGCCTCGGGCCATTTCCTTTCGCCGCTGAGGGGAAAAGGAAAAAATCATAGATCATAGAATCAAAGAGTTGGAAGAGACCTCATGGGCCATCCAGTCCAACCCCCTGCCAAGAAGCAGGAATATTGCATTCACATAAAGGGCCTGAGGCTGTTAGGAATTGTAGGAGTTGAAGTTTGCCCAAGCCTGGACTGGTTCCTATCTTTTGCTCCATTAATCTGGAATTACAGCTGTGTTAATAATAATAATAATAATAAAACAACAACAACAACACTTTATTTGTACCCCGCTACCATCTCCCCAAGAGACTCGGTGCGGCTTACATGAGGCCGAGCCGGAACACAACAATACAACAATAATCACAACAATACAAGCAATTAAAATAAAACATAAACATATAACATTAACAGTGAGACTTCATACAATTAAAACTATGGGAAAGCCAAATGTAGAATTAAAATTGGAAATAGTGCCGAACAGTTTCCACATGAAGTTGCCCCCTCCCTGTTTTCCTTTTATTGACAGTTTTTGTTCAACCAGGTCTTTAATGTATAAAGGGCAGGGCTTTTTAAAACAATATTTTATTTATATTTTTAACATTTTGCTTGTGAAAATATTTTTTTAAAGTTTTATGAGGTGGGTTTAATTGCTTTTAAATTTTGTTGCGAATGTTTTTAATTTACTGGAAGCTCCTTTGTGGCCCATTAAAGGAGAAAGGCAGGATATAAAAGAAATGATATTAAATGCTTGGAACATATTCCTTCATTTCTATAAGGCATTACAGCATTCCACCCATAGAGGGAGGTGGTTGATTTTTAAAATAAAATAAATGCTTTCTGCCAAAGTGGCTCAGAGATGTGGGATAATACTGCTGTGTGAAATTATCTTGTGTATGAAGTCTAATTAAGGTTTGTGTTGGGGTAGCATACTTTTCAGGGATCAGCTGTTTCTTGATTTCAGTATTGGTGTGCAGCCGTTAAATCACATTTTCAGATCAGTTTACAACAAAATCCAACAATTCTTTTATCAAACTGTTGTGCCCTCATAGAACACTTTTTCCTGATAAACCTGTGAGTGTAGAGATAGTCTTTTAAAATATAGAGTTAAGTTTACAGTACAGATCTGTATATATTTATAAAGAATCCAATGCCATTCTACATAATATGATTTTTTCCCTAGGTAAATGTGTTCAGGATTTCAAACTCGGTCTTCTTTTTCTTTAATTTAAATCACATACTTGTTTTTTTTAAAGATAATCCAGTTCAAATGTATGAGCAGGTTATGTTCAGTGTGTTCATCTAGTTAAAAAAAATTAAATCCTAACATTCTTAGGAGAAGTGTTGCATGACTTTTCTTAAGTGTTTCTCATTGCAGTTGCAGACTCTTTGTTTTGTTAATGTGCAGACTTTGAGTGTGTTGCTAGGCACAAACAGTTGACAATCAAACATTCGTTTTGTGTACGCAGCTGCAAGCTTTTTAGTGGCTATGATTGAGTGCCAATATCTGATCTGACAGCATAATATTGTCTCAGAAAAACCTACAAAATCCAGGGGTGGCTATAAATCGGCAGACATCTTGATGTAACAGACAATTTTGTGAGCCATCTCAAAGGTTCTTCACAGAGTCATTTTCAAATGTCTTTAGAATGGGGATAGAAACTTAAGAGCGTTTAGATGATTTTATATATGAAAAGTGGGCAAAAATGCTACTCACATTTTTTAGTATAAGTTAGAACACATGCTGCTCTAGATGTTGGCAGACAATATTGTGTTGCTACTCAATCAAATAAATGTTCTTAACATGTGTAGACTGTAGGTATTATAATTATTCTACATAAGCTTTGTACTGTACATTATCAGCCTGCCCCTCAGAAATACAGATCCTAAAATTATGATGTTTATATTTTTGGTTGCATAAGGAAATAGAAAAATTTGTAGCAAACATATAGGTTAGTTTTCCAAACTTGGTGCATGCCAAATATATTGGCGTACAACTATGTATCATATAAAATCAGCATAGCCATGACTAGAACTTACAGGAATTTTATTCTATAATACCTGGAAGGTACCAGGTCAGGGTAGATTTCTGCATGGACTTAGGCCTTTGTTAGTATTCCTTGTTTAGCTTAAAAGTTGAAATCTCTAATACATAAAACTGTCATTTTAATTACACTAGTGATGATACTCTTTTAAAATAAATAATCCACTATATGTTAGTAATAGAAATGAGACTGTTAAACGGGAACATCATACTTTTAAACCTTGGGAATGGAAATGAATTAGATGGACTACCAGCGTTTCTCAAACAGTCTGGAATATAAAGTAACAAGTTATTTGATTGTTCTACAATGTATGATAATTGTAGAAGTATTAGTAACTGCTCGTAGTGTTTGATTATCATTGGATGGGTTAATCCTTCATATTCTGGTAGAGGTTTTTTTTTTGAACGATTAATAAAATAATTCCCTTTTTCTTCCTCAGTGGAAATGAATTTGAAATTATTATCATCGATGACGGAAGCCCAGATGGAACTCAGGAAGTTGCTGAGCAGTTGATAAAGATTTACGGATCAGATAAAATTGTAAGTCATGTTTGTTTTGGTTGCTATTTTTTTGCAACACAACATATTTGAACTAATTGTTGAACTAGATTGAGAATGAGGGAACACTGTCTTAAGAAAACACGTTTTATACTCCATCCTTTTAATCACAGAGAAAATAGGGAGATACAAATCCATAAATAAAAATATGCTAGGACCTCCAAATACATGAGCGATAGGTTTCCAAACTTACCACAGAGACAGCAAATTAGGAACAGCTGGGCCTATTGAAATGAATGCCTTCCTCCAGGAATTAGCATAAAGTTTTTCGGGTAAACCTAGAAAATTTCCTAGGTCCTCCAGGGGGGCCGCAATGGTAACTTCTGGTGGCAGCATAATGAAGAATCTCCTCAAAAACCTAGAAAATTTCTAGACATAATTTATTAGATGCAGGTAAGTGGAACTGAATGAATTTATTTTATTTACTCTATTTGTATCCCACCTTTCTCTACTCCGAAGGGGACTCAAGGCGGCTTTACATATGGCAACTATTCAATACCTTTGAACAACAAACAGTTAAAATACATTAAGGTAAAGATTTAAAATTAAAATAACTAGTAAATGCACATTGAAAACATATAAAACATTACAATCACTTGTTTTATATGTTCTCTATTTGGTTCCAGCTTTGATTTCTCTTTCAAAAGTTATGTTTCATCTTAGGCCTCACAAAATGTTTTAGTAGTATTGTCGAAGGCTTTCATGGCCAGAATCACTGGGTTGTTGTAGGTTTTTCAGGCTATATGGCCATGTTCTAGTGAGGTTTGACCTCACTACCTCTGAGGATCCTTGGCATAGATGCAGGCGAAACGTCAGGAGATAATGCCTCTAGAACATAGCCATATAGCCCAAAATACCTACAACAACCCTGTTCTAGTAGTATCTGTCTAGGAGGGAAATGACAAGCAGAACTTTTACTCAGCTTAAATTTCCATGGAGGAAAAAAATAAGCAATATTCCAGAGTAAATTACTTTATGTTTGTATCTTGTCTGCTAATCTAATGTTGTTTAGATGTATTGTGGGCCATGTGAGTAAAATGATCACTCTAGAAGTGGAGAAAGCATTCATCAAATTGAGCAGTACCTGTCTGGATTTGATTTATGGCAAGGTTTAGACATGTGTAATATGTTATGTAATAGAGGATACCTGTCTTCATGTGATTATGTTGTGAGACATTCAAATCAAAGTTTTTAAGATACATTCTGGTTCTGCTGCCTATGCTGCTGAAAGAAATGCTTAAAATTGGAACAAGAAGTGTGACACTTGCTTGACGTAGGAGATGGAGATCATGCGGCCCTCCAGATGTTGTGCTACAGTTCCCCTGAATCTTAGCCAGGATAGCCGGTGATGAAGAACACTAGAAATTGCAGTTCAGTAACATATATGATTGATGGGGTATGCTGAGTCAGTGACATACACATGGCTCTCATTTTTGAGATAACACACTATTTGGAATGCAAATAATCACTAATGTTGTGTGGATAGAAGCCAATATGAAGTGCATATGGTGTATTTTGCCCATGAAGAGAGGGCCTGAATAACACCACAGAAGAAGATAGTCAGAAGGAATGGTGACGCAACCATTTAAGTTATTAGCTGCTCTGAGTCCCATATTGGGAGATGAGATGGGATATAAATAAAGTTGTTATTATTATTATTATTATTATTATTATTATTGAAAAATTGTGAACCCTTCCTGTAAAACTATGTATTTTTGTAAGAGACGTATTTTAAAATCCATATTGTTGTAAAGTTTTACAACATATAAAGTACACCTCCTGTCTTCATGAGAGATATGTTCTTGAACTCAGCATGAATACAGGAATGCATGGATAATAGTGAACCATATTGAAATGAACAACTACCAATGGAAGTTGCCTTAGAGCCTCCCTGGAGAACATAGAAAATTCTCTAGATGTATCTGGAGGACCTAGAAAATATTCATATGCATTTAGGTGAAACCATAGTCATAACTCCCAGAAGTATGAGTGGTTCTATTGTACACCTGTGTACCTCACTGAAATGCATTACAGTCAACTGTGCAAGATTAAAAAATCCTGTGAAGGAAAACAGTCGTGGAATAACTCCCCTCGGGGGAATATGAGTAAGTCAGATAAATTTGGTGGTAGGCTTTAAAATGATATTGGCATTACCAGATGCATAGAAATGAGGATATTTGTATATCTTGTAATTGCCATCATAGTATTATAATGCTTTCATTGAAATTCTTCCTTTCACACATAAGGCACATACACTTTGTTGCATGTGGAAAACATTCATCCTGGCAGATAAGGATTCATTTCATTCTGTAGCATTGGTTCCATCAAGAGTTGGAATCTGGCCTGCTGTAGGTTCCCCAAGAGGCCCTTAACCTTGTCAAAACTCTGGCCTCCTATAACAAATAATGGAGGTGATGCCCTTGTGCTTGTAAATGCATTCCTGCTGTTATCTGCAATCTGTGACCCCTTTCCTGCAATCTTGTGATTGTTGGAGCTGGCTGGAATTCAGGCAGCTTTTGGAAGTTTAGCAGACAACATATTGCTCTCTTGTCTTCTATCACTAAGTAGAGAAAGAAGGGAATGCAAACTTGTCTTTCAGGTAGAAAGTCCTGTGAATGCAGGCTGAAAATAGTTCATTCTTCTGCTTTGGATGGGAATGAGCGAGCAATGTCCCGTTCCTGGCCAAGGCACAGAAAGGAAAACCATGTGATTATATTATTTCCCATGATCATTTTATGTGGTTTAATTTGACCCATAGCTTCAACAGTAACCAACTCTTATCTTCTCAATTTGGTCTACATCAAGATGGATGCAGTCTCTGGTCCCTACCTTCATGACCCCCAAATTCTGCAACCAGTCTCCCAAGGTCCTCTGAACTCCATGAGGAGGGGAAAGAATTGGTCAATAACCCACTGCACAAATGCCTACTCTGGCCTCCTTCCCTGTATTCCACAATTATTTTTATTTAAGTTAGTGTCTATATAGTTCAACTGTGAATCTTACTGTGTGATTATGGGTGCAGCCCAGTTACTCTCTCTTGCAAAAAGGAGTACCGTAGATCAACAGAACAGAGAGCATCTGAGTTTGTCTTTCCCTTCCCCACATGCTCTATAATTGCGGGACCTTTTGGAACATTGGAGAGGGAGGTGAAGGGAGAAGACCACGTTTAATTTCGTTAATAGATATTTATTTTTACAATGTTGGATTTTGTCCTATAAATGAGCTGAAATCCTGTTTGAGAGAAGAAAAAATGTGATAAAGAGGAAATGTTAAAGAAATGCATGATTTCTGTTTTCAGGCTTTTTAACACATGTACCTATTATTTTGTCTTCATATATATTACAGCTTTTAAGACCCAGAGCAAAGAAACTTGGATTGGGTATGTGCTTGTTTGTTTATTATTTGGGTAATATTTGATAACTTACTTTCAATCAAATTCCCAAGTGATTTACATTTTTAAGAACACCCATAACTTAATTATAGATTTTATTCTGATTCCAGCTAGTTGTCTACGATCCCCATAGCCACATGGGATATTGTCATGAAACTGACCTTTTTGGCAGGAAGGCCGAAGCCTGGAAGTCAGTAGCTGACATATTCTGGGTTAGGCAAGAGAGCCAGAGGCAGGAGGGAGGAGTCAGCCGACTCCTGATTGGCTGAAGCAGCCAGGGGAGGAGTTTGGATTTAGAGGGGAAAAAGGCTGGCTTATTTGACAAGTAAAGGGGAGTTGGAGTTTAGATATCGTGGAGGAAAGAAGTATATTTTAGGGAGAGAGAGCTATAGAGATCTTAGGCAGGGAGGGAAAACTTTTGTGTGAGGCTTTAGAATTAGAGCAAGGCATAGGCAAGGGATCCTGGTTCACTGTACAGGATAGGGTCAGTGAAAGGGAAGCCTGTTTTTGCTCTGGGAGGCAGTTTGGGTGCTGTGCTCCAAAGACACACTGTGTCAGTGGTGATCAGTGTGAGGACAAGTAATTCACTGAGAAACAAAAGTTGAAGCCTTTAAGTAAAACTGCCTGTTTATCCAGCTAAGCATTAAGAAACTGAACTGCATCAAGATTATTGTACCACTCTTATTAAGAGTTGATCTGTTTATCTAGTTCTATAATAAACCTGTTTCTTATTTCACCTTTAAATTGGTGTCTGCCTCGGTCTATTACAAACTTTACATCTCAGTCAACTCAAAGAAGATTACTCCCAGTCCAGTCAGCAAAAGTAGCGGTGGTCAAAGAAGAACAAAGAGCTTGCATATAACTTTTCCTATTTTCACATTCACACATATGGTTTTCCTCAGACCTATTTAATAGAGGTGGTGGCAGTGAATTTAACAAATACATCGGTCTACAACTACATCATAGCTGGTCACTTATTAGTTATAATAATGAGGTGGGATAAGAGAGTCTTTCTCCCTTTGATATAGTTAACCATCTTTATTTAATGTAGTGTTCAGCTGAGCGATAACCCTGTAAGCTGAAGGACAGTGGGTGTGATTGCTTGTCCCCCCCCTATCCAGGTGAACGTTCATCTTTGCTACAGATATGTTCTCAGACACTCTTCAACCTCATGGATATAGGAAACAATGCATGATAGAAAATGCTAGAATCAAACTGGAGGATCTAAGGAAGCTCACAAATAATTTGGGGGGATGCAGAATATTTTTTAGAACATGAGTAGGTGAAACTGTGGGTATCGAATCCATGTTTAAACACTTTGTACTGTATTTGCATTTGGGGAACTTAGAAAAACATAATTATTTATATATTCTCAAGAGACATTATTTTTCAGCTGGGTGTTTCAGTATTATTCACTAAAATATATTTTTCCCATAAAAAATAAAAATATTAGTATTCTTTTGGGAATAATTCTTATATTAGATAATGTAGGTGCCATAATGTGTCAATAATGTAAAGGGGTAGGCAGTTCCTAAATAGTTTTTTGTGTAGAAAAACTCCTGTGTAATAGGGAAGTTATATAATTGGAATGATTTAACTTTTTGGAAGAAACATTCAAGCCCTGCTTATCTTATTCTTGCCAGGATAATACAAATTATTCAGGGATTGGAAGGTGCGGAACAGAGAGGGCTTTTTTTCTCCTATGCTAATTTCTATAGGTTGAAGACCTTCCACATTTTAAACTCAATACATCTCTTTTTCTCTATCTCAGTAATTCTCAACCTGGGGTCCCCAGATATTTTTGGCTTTCAACTCCCAGAAATCCTAACAGCTGGTAATCTGGCTGGGATTTCTGGGAGTTGTAGGCCAAAAACATCTGGGGGACCCCAGGTTGAGAACCACTGCAAATGGGGAATTAATGGTGCAGGGGACCATTGCAACAAAGAGACCTCTGACAGCAGGCCTTCTTCAAGCTTTTCTCTCTCTGCTGAGGGGGAGTTTTCTAAAAATCCTAAGAGAGTCAGAAACCCTCCCAAGGGCCATAGCATTATACTCTGAAATTATAATTATGACATTAAATGCTTGAAATCCAGTTTCCATTTAGAATTGAAACTATTAAGGAAGAAGTGAATAGATGACAAAAGTAGTGTTTAATCAGCTAAAGAAGTAAGAAAATGTCTGTTAATAGCATGTATATATTGAAGTATAGATTTTTAACTGGTGTTTTGTTTTTGTAGTCTAGATATTACAAATTTTATTCTGTTAGATAAAAATTTGAAACATCTCAGCATGAAAAAGGGTCGTGGAAATATTGGAGTATTGTACATTTTCTCATAAGAGAGTAGGACCTTAATCTATTTTTCTGACAAACACAGTATTATGTGGTTCTGAATATGAATGACCGAAATAACTTTCGTATTGTTGACATCAGGGACTGCTTACATTCATGGGATGAAGCATGCTACAGGAAACTTCATAATTATAATGGATGCTGACCTCTCACATCATGTAAGTTTGTCCTGTGTGTGTGTGTGTTTCACAAAGTTTATTTTACTGTTTTTTCCCCTGTTTTGCTTCTTATGCCTCTCTTTTGCATTGCAGCCAAAATTCATTCCAGAGTTTATCAGGTGGGTACATTTGCTGGTCTCTGGTCTCTGTGCATAGTCTGGCTGTTTGTTTTTATTTTTTTGCCATTTGGTTGTATAGGATACCTTAAATACCAGATTTATTTGTAGCCAGAGAGTAGATTCTGAAAGCAGTCGAAAACCTATGATATATTTTAGGCAGGATGAAACCCTTAACCTATGTTTAAATATGTTTAACTTTAGTCAGTATATTGATCTCACTTGGAACCACAGCTTTATCTATTTATATAAACTTCTGACCTAGTTTATTAACAGAGATTAGATCTTCATTAGTTTTCAAAGGTGTTGCTATGTTAGTCTTTTGCAACAAAGCAAACAATTAAGATTTTGGCACCTGAATGATACTTACATCTTTGTAAACTGATTTATGATTGCGAGAAAGTGAATAATGATGTTGGCCAATGTTCATATTCTTGAGAAGGGAAGTAGAGGCATAGCTATGTGGCAGGATTCTTTGTGTAAGTAGAGACATCAGCATATTTGTTGTCCTAGTGGTCCTGTTGTACAATGGATGCTGTAGTGCTATAGGTTCTGCAACGTGACATTGTGTGAGATGCCCAATACACTTCATCATAATTCACTACAAGATTTGTGTAGCAACTGAAATGTACGTGATGCAATTGAGATGTACATGATTGAATTTCCAGTAGGTGACAAAAAGGTGTCTTTCTAAATAAAAATTATGGAAATACGTTTTTGAAAAAAAAATGCATGGTCTATGAAACAAATGGGACTTAAAGAGAATGAAAACAAAAATGAAGTGTGAGAGTGAAGTGGATTTCCATTAGCCAGTTAAGGAACAATCAAACAGGTATACATTTTTTGGAAACCAACTTAAATATGTAAAGAGAGACAAAGCAATAAAAAGGGTCAAATTTAAAAGATTTCAAGATTGTTACTGTTATAAATTAAAAATGTGTATAACAGTAAAGACATGCAAATTAATTATAAAAATAAAGACACATTAGAAAATTGTGAATATAATAAGCGTTGAAAAAATAACATGAAGTAATAGTCTATAACTCCACGAGACAAGGTTAAAATTAACAATAAGATATAATGAATAGGTATAAAACTTAAGTGTGTTAAAATGCTAACAAAGATTTATATTACATTAAAAATTGTATGTTTAAACTAATGCAATTTTCAGGAGGGGCATTGTCAGTGTTTATAATGTTTGAGTGAAAACAGCATGTAGTTTAAATGGCATATGTCAGAAATGTTCCAGTAGTTAATGAGTTAATGTAATAGAGGGGTGGAAAATGGCTAGAAGGTCAGTTATGCAGTTTCCTGTACCAACTGGGGGGAAAGGGCAATGTGCTTCGTTCTTTGCCATGATATAATTGAGTATGGATGTGTTTCAAGATGATACTATATATAGTTCTTAAAAATAAAAGTAAAAGAACGACTTTTGTTGAAAGCTGAATTTATAAAATCCATTTGAACTATTTATCTTCGTGCTTTCAAGACGAGGTCGAAAAGACTGCAATAAAGACAACCTGATTTATGATAGATTTATCTCAGTTACCTGACAGAATACATTATAGCATGAGCTCTAATTCTGTTTTTCTATAGAACACAGAAAGAAGGCAATTTTGACATTGTGTCTGGAACTCGATATAAAGGAAATGGAGGTGTTCACGGATGGGATTTGAAAAGAAAATTAATCAGGTCAGTAGGTGTGTCACTTGGAGCTGGCTCTCTGTCAAATCTTCAGCATCAAAACTTTGTATGATGGATGAGATATCTCAAGAAATTAAACGAGTAGCAGCTCCTGTGATGAGTTGTAAGATACAAACTTTGGGTTAGGAAGACCTTTCACTTTAGCTTTCTGCCTCCATTCTGAAATACCACATTGGTTCAATTGCCAAGTTCTTTAGGCCTTCTTCAGAAATCCCCTGAAAATTATTCTGAGAAAATTATTTTATGTGACTTCTTCATTTTAAAAAAAATCAGAAATTTTTTTTAAAGTAGGTAATCAAATTCAAATCCTGAGACAATATTTCCAATTTGGGGGATTGTTTAAAGGGGAAATTATATTGTTCCCATATTTGTAACCCAATAATAGCAAAACACATACTGCGTGAAATTACTGATTTTGATGTATTTTTATGTGTCCCCTGTGGGTTTCAGATTGGGAAAACCAGGAATCTCCACAGACTTTTGGAAGTATGGCCCTTTTGAAGATTAACGTGCATTCACACTATTTGGAATAATAATAACCTTTTGGAAAGGCATGACCTTGTTAGAGATCGTAAACTTTTTGTAAAGTATGATCTTCCTGAGAAGAATTAAAAACTTGCTTGAATCAATCTTCTCCTTAGTGGTAAATATCCACTAGTATTCATGCAAGACAATTTAGACTTCTCAAGTGTTAGACTGATATACCTAGTTATCTCTTAACTGTTGGGAACAAAGATAGAACAATGCGCAAAATATATAGCAGATTTTCAGAAGTGTTATTTCAGTTGCCCAAAAAACATCTACTCTCCCATAAAATATATTGGTTTTAAATCATGCTCTCAAGAGACCAAAAATGAGTAGTCTTTATTAAAAGTTAACATAGTTGATCTACTTACAAACTTCATGTATTTAACATGCAGGTACATTGCTTATTGGTTTCATATTAACTGAATTATACTTAACTGTACTATATTGTGTTACACTTCTGATGCAAACAGACTCCTATATCAGCTGAACATCTCACTGCAGCATACTGACTATACTCTTGTTCTAACGGACATCAACTGACTTCACTCACTTCTAAATAGAATTGACTTCTATGCTCAAACTGATTTAACTGACTCCAATTGACTTCTGATTCAGACAAACACATTCTAAAATGGAGTCTCATTCTGAACATTCTAAGATCAAGGTCACATGGTCTGTAGTCCCACCCACAACCTCTAACAACAAAGAATTAAGGGGAAAACTGCATGTCAATGTATACATACAATATAGTCAGCAATCTCAATTATATCAATTACAAATAATTAGTATAGGAAGCTTGCAAAAGGTTGCTATTTCCAACATTCCATACCTAATGGGTCAATATTCTCTTGTTTCTTCCCTTGCACCCATTGGCAAGGATTAGATTATTCCTTGGTTTTGTTAACCTCCTAGCTGTATTAGATGGTATTAAAATTATTATCTTTTATTTTATTTATTCTTATGCTGAGAAACCAAATTTCTCTGTTATTATGACTATTTCTCTTACAATGAACTTCTACACTAAAAACAGAATGTGCTTTTTCAAGTTTAGATTTTAATGTTAATTAAAATTCCCTACTTTTCTTGCCAGTCGAGGCGCCAACTTCCTAACTCAAGTTCTACTACAGCCAGGTGCATCTGATTTAACAGGAAGCTTCAGGTATGTTGGTTTTGAAGTATCATGTAATTCCCCCAATTTGAGCAAGAATGGATCAAGTTAACGGTCAATTTGAGACTCATATGAGAAAGATAACAGGGAGCTGTACTGCCTAGATGTGAAATTTGGTATTAAACATGGCATTTGAAATGTTTTTTTAACAATTAACAATAATATTTCCCACTTTCTTCTCTTAATGAGAGTCAGAGTAGTTTAATGGGTTGCAAAGTGGTGTTAAACATTCTGTAGAGACAGTCTAGGCATAATTCACAAAATATATTTGTGTGTGACTGAAAAGTTATGAAGGTTTAATTTTAGTATACTTACCTTGCAGATTGTATAGAAAAGAGGTTTTACAAAAACTGATGGAGAAATGTGTTTCAAAAGGATACGTTTTTCAGATGGAAATGATTGTCCGAGCCAGACAACTTGGCTACTCCATTGGAGAGGTATGGTGATTTAAAAAAAAATAGAAGCAGAACATCTTCAGTTCATTCTTCATGTTACATGTTTACCTGATTACTGCTAGTGACATAAGGTGAAAATGCTTAGGAAGCATACTTTCTTGCCAAGGCCATTATTCTTAGTGGCTGTACAGTAGGCCCTTGCATTATGCAAATAATACATTTCAAGACCCTTTGCATACTGTGATTCTTGGCATAATCTGATATCCTATATTTTTTACTTGAATGATGTTTTGGGATTCTGGTTAGAGCATACATTAAAATCACTCTAGGGCAGGGGTCCTCAAACTAAGGCCTGGGGGCCGGATGCGGCCCTCCAAGGTCATTTACCCGGCCCTCACTCAGGGTCAACCTAAGTCTATAACGACTCAAAAGCACACAACAACAACAACAACAACAATCCTATCTCATCAGCCAAAAGCAGACCCACACTTCCCATTGAAATACTAATAAATTTATATTTGTTAAGATTGTTCTTCATTTTAATTATTGTATTGTATTGTTTTTTTTAAAAAAAATTGCACTATAAATAAGATATGTGCAGTGTGCATAGGAATTCATTCATGTTTTTTTCAAATTATAATCCGGCCCTCCAACAGTTTGAGGGACTGTGACGTGGCCCTCTATTTAAAAAGTTTGAGGACCCCTGCTCTAGGGGATCTAGAAACTGCCAAGAGGAATGTTTTCTGAATGACTCCAATATGATTCTGTGGTCAGCTTCCACTAAAATGTCTGGCAGACGTTGCCCATAGAATTGTGCTGGAGGTCTAGGCATTATTAGGTCCTTCAGAGCAATTCTGTAGAATTAAAATCACTTTGTGTCTAAATGAAACTGTGTTCAATGAGCTAGAATAAAAAGCAGGACTGCTGTACACTGAATTTTCAATTGTTGGAGACCTGTAAAGCAGTCGTGAGAAATAATACCTCTGGTATCACTTAGAGAAATTGCAGGACAATGAGTCCAGCTGTCAGTGTCCTAAAAATGTGGGCAGATAATGGTCAGTGTTACAGAAAGTGATCATTTAATCTTTACTTATTTGATGTGGGCAGAGGTGAGGCAGCTACCCACATGAGCTCTGCAGATTCACAAAAATGGATAAATTGAATTGGACTGGTACAATAAGCTCTGCTGTCCTCTTTGCAGTTACCGACACTAAATCAAAGGAATTACAGTAACTGTGATCACTCTTCAACAGTTTTCTTTAACCTAGTAATATGATGTAAGGGAATGTTGTAGTATCTTTAAGACTAACTCAGAAAAGGGTATTTCTAGAACAAGCTTTCATGGAATCCAGTCTACTTCTTTAGTTTCATGGAGTGAACCCCCCCCCCCCTCTCTACACACACACACACACACACACCCCAAGGGGGCGGGAAGGGGAATGGAAAATGTGACAGAAGGGAACATTTGTGGGAATAGTGATGAGGGTGTTCAGTCTCAACAACACTCATTCTGTAGGTTGTTTGGGGCTTCCAAAATATTACAAAGGGAACTGGAAAGAGAACATTTGAATTAGGTTGGTGGTAATTTGAGCAGAGATAATTTCTTGACACATTACACATATTAAGGAAACCAGTGTTTGTAGCGGTTTGAGACTTGAACTCTAAGACCCCTTTTACATTGTCAGATAATCCAGTTTATCAAAACAGATAATCCACATAATCTGATTTGAACTAGATTATCTTAGTCTACACTGTCATATAATCAAGTTCAAAGCAGATAATGTGGATTTTACACTGCAGTGTAGAAGGGACCTAAGACACCAAGGTTCACATTCCTGCTTGGCCATGGAAACCCACTGGATGACCATGGGCAAGTCATACTCTTTCAGCCTCAGATAAAAGTAACAGCAACCGCTCTCTAATAGTTCTTGCCAAGAAAAGCTCACGATAAATCCACCATATGTCACAAGCTAGTTTTAAAATATGCTGTGCTATCCCATTTACTAAGTAGGATTCTCCTGTCTAGTGTATTGGAACACTTTTCTGGTCGTGCACCCACAACAATGCACAAGACCAAGAATTTCTGCCACTGTTCATATGCTTACCTGTTCATCTTGGTTTCTGTGTAAAACATGTCTCTCAGTTATTCTTTATTGTTGAGAATGAATTTGTAATCCCTCACCATACCCACAATTTGTATTTCTGTTACAATCACACTCCCCTCCTACTCTTTGGTATTTATGTCTGTTCTGCAAAGGCTTCACTACATGCATTTGATGGAATGAACTGAAGTCTATGAAAATTGTACTAGAAGTTTATTTTTCTCAATTAGACTCAGACCTGTTACACAAATCTTTATATCGTTTTAGAATAATAGAATAATAGTTGGAAGAGACCTGGTGGGCCATCCAGTCCACCCCCCTGCCAAAAAGCAGGAAAATCACATTATAGAATTATAGGGTTGGAAGAGACCTCGAACAGACTAAGATGGCTATATTTTTTAATGTTTCTAATAATCATTTAGATTTGGATAGTTTAGTATCATACTCTTCTGGTTCTAGAAACAACAAAAAATTCTTTTCATTTCATGCAGTCTTGGAAAAAAATAATTAGTAAAATCTTGATATTCGGCTCTTAAATATTAAAAAACATAGTAATAACCTTTTCTAAACAGCAGCAGGTTGTGGATCCTTTTGCTGATGGAGCATCTTGATACTGTCATAAATGTTTTCTTAAACTGTTAGTTGAGAAATGACTTGCACAGGGAACCTTTACAAAACTCATTTAATACATTTTTCAATCCTGGCACAAGTAATAGATGGGCTACTCTTTATATAGGGCATAATCTCCTTAGGGTGCTTTAATAGTGCCTTTTCTGTCTTTATGCTGTATTGGTTGAAAGGCAACAGAAGATATATTTGAAGATCTACTTTGTGCTTACCACTGTAAAAGAAACTTGCGTAAAGATTCTATAACTGTGGTTTGGCATAGATACATGGGTGTGGGATATGTCTTTTTCCATTTCTGCTTGCCAATTGATTTCTGGTTGATTATGCCAACAGAGAATGTCTAGCCAGATTTTATGTGGATTCCACAGTTTGAGACTTATAGTCATACTGGAATGTCAAAGTTCCTATTTTACTGTATTGAAAAACTGATTAGAAACTCTACAAATCATTGTTTACTACACATAATCAACATTTAGTGAAGTTGGAACCATGTGATACTATGTTTAAAATGAAAAGAAAAGGTGTGTTAAGTTTAGTATTTATTATCTTTTATTTAACCTTTTCAATGCAACCTTCTTCTGAACAGTTTTTACATTAGCCAAGAGTCTTTGAACACAGGCACTTAATGTTTCCCAGCCTATTCATAAATATGGTGGACTTCAAATACCCTCATTCCCAGTCAACATGAATTATTTCTTTGTTTTTAAAAAGCTAGTGTATTTTAGTCATGTTTTAATCTATGGCATAAAGTTGAAATAATAGAATGTTAGGTTTGGAAGGTGCAACAATAGTAGTCATCTTCTCCAGTCCCCTGACAGGCAAATGATACACAGCTAAGGCCTTCTTGAAAAATGCTCACCCATCCTCTGTTTTAAAAGGTAAACTTAATACATACAGGGTGAGGCAGCAGAACTTCAGTTGGTTGAAGAAGTAATGGAGCGCTACTGGTCTCGTTCGAGAGGCGGGAGTATAAATTTTTGTCCTGACACAGTTCAGTCGCCATCACGTGTTGGAACAGTTGCCGTTGAGGCCTACTTTTCGAGCGGATTTGGAGTGGCCGGCCCGCTCTCTAGATTTGGCCCCTTGTGATTTTTTTCTATGGGGTTCTTTGAAATCCCGTGTTTATGTGAACCATCCAAGGACCCTACAAGATTTGAAGGCCAACATCCAGAAAGAAATTGCAAACATAACACCTGATATGCTGGCAAGAGTCATGACAAACGCCCAAAATCGGTTTACTCAGTGTATGGAGAATGGGGTAAGTTTTGAAAAAAGGAAGTTATGCTGCCTCACCCTGTACAATAGCTTCTTGAAGACTCATTAGCTAATATGACTGTAGTCTAGTCTCCTTGACCATAATCACAGTGTTCAATGGATAGAGCTACCATAGGTTCTGTCAAAGTGTTTAAGTTTATCTATGTGATATTTAAAGTAATATCAAACTTTGAATTGATGTTTCTATGTACTTTTATTACAACCTGAAGTTATTTCTATAAATGGAATGATTTTGTGACTTGTTTCCTCCAATAGGTTCCTATATCATTTGTGGACCGAGTCTATGGAGAATCTAAATTGGGAGGCAATGAAATAGTTTCCTTTCTAAAGGGACTTCTGACTTTGTTTGCAACTACATAGTGGAGATATTTTCCCTACATTCCATATAACATTAAATTGGATTGAAGAATTTATTTTTGTACTTTGTTAAGCTTCCCTGTGACTATAAAAACCAAACCATTGCTGATTTCTGATTTGAAGAAAAACACAGACAATACATGCAACTATGGACTTATTTATTAACTGTGATCACTAAGTAGTATGGGCTCTAAAAATAATAAATTCACACATACCCCAGTTTGATGGTGTTCGTTTTTTCTTCATGGGAGAAGTGATGTATTGACTACTACAAACTGGGTGCATACCATTTTACATACAGGCACTGTATACCAGTGGTTCTCAACCATCCTAGTGCCACAACCCCTTAATACACTTTCTCATGTTGTGACCCCCAACCATAATATTATTTTCGTTGCTACTTCATAACTGTAATTTTGCTACTGTTATTAATCATAATATAAATATCTGATATGCAGGATGTATTTTCATTCATTGGATTAAATTTGGTACAAATGTCCGATACGCCAAAATTTGAATATTGGTGAGGTTGGTTGGGGGTGTGTGTTGATTTTGTCATTTGGGAGTTGTAGTTGCTGGGATTTATAGTTAACTTACAATCAAAGAGCATTCTGAACTCCACCAATGATGGAATTGAACCAAACTTGGCACACAGAATTCCCATGGCCAACAGAAAATACTGGAAAAGTTTGGTGGACACTGAGCTTGAATTTTTGGAGTTGTAGTTCACCTACATCCAAAGAGCACTGTGGACTCAAACAATAATGGATCTGAATCAAACTTAGTACAAATACTCTATATATGCCCAAATGTGAACACTGGTTTGGAGAAAATAAATCTTGACATTTGGGAGTTGTAGTTGCTGGGATTTATAGTTCACCTACAATCAGAGAGCATTCTGAACCCCACCAACAATAGAATTGAGCCGAACTTCCCAGACAGAACTGCCACAGGTTTAACGTAAACCTTACTGGAGGTCATATATGAGAAGTTGCTGATTATACTGTATCTTGTTTCTCTGGCCAGAATCCAAAGGTAAATATCTGCTGGATCTGACATCTTCTGTGAAAACTAGTGATTCTCCTCCTTTCTGTAATTCTCTGCACATTCTAAAACTCTGGGAAGGTTTCCACAGCAGATTTGGGCACCATAAAGGACTACAGTGGGCAGAAAAGAGGGGGGGACTTCCAATTTCATTGGATTATATATCAAAAATGTGTCATTGGACTTTGACGGATCTGTTACTGTATGCCTTCAGGTCATTTCCAACTTGTGGCAACTCAGAGGTGAATCTATAATGGAGTTTTCTTGACATGATTTCTTCAGAGGTGATTTGCCATTGCCTTCCTCTGAGTTGGGATGCAAACCCAGGTGGGTTTCCATGGCTGAGTGAGCATACCAAGAGACCTAATCCAACTCTTAAACCATTACTTCATGCCAGGTCCTCCTTGGCCTACATTTATTGTTGTGAAATGACATCTGGTGGAAATTCCTAGCCCCTGACTGCTGCAATCTAATGGTTTTTATAGTATTTTTAACTGGTTCTCATCCAATGGTGGGTGGGGGCTACTGCTTCTCAGATGAACCTTGAGAGGTTTGACTTCCTTCCTAGGCTCCCTTCCATCTTTATATGATGTTTCCTATCTTTTGGAAATACTGTATATACTCAACTGTATGTTAATCTTGTGGGTGTTAAGAGTAGGTTTTGGGCCCATGACTTAGTTGAGGGTAAAACAGACACACAGAAAAGAATGTAAAGGACGAAGCAAATAACGTCAAAGAATTTACAGAATTCCAGCAGCTGTAACTGTTCATGTTCACTCTAAAGGCAGGACATGTGAGAAGAAAACTAACTTTTGGCTTTGGACTGTTTGCACACATGTGTTTGCATTTCCTGAAAAGTGAGCTGAAAGGGTGGTAAGACTCCTTGACTGGGAGGCCCAATATTTTGGAAAAAGATGCAAGCAGAAATCCAGTGCAGGCCATCCCTTAGTTACAAACATCCAACTTGCAAACAATTCCCAGTTAAGAACAGGGCTGAGATAACGAGAAGCGAGAAGAATCTATCCCTAGAAAGAGAAATCCACTCCTGAAAGAGTTATTGTCATGGGGAAAAGATGTCTCCACTGAAGTGTTATCCCCAATCCTTGTTTCCACAACAAGCCACATTTTCCAAAATCCAATTCTCACAGGAACAGAAAGTGAGATGGAATCTCTTAAAGGGTACAGACTGCAAAGGGAACACCACAGAGGTGATTACCCTTCCCTATGCTATCCAAAGCTGGAGTTACACTTAAAAGGGTACTTGTTCTGACTTACGTATAAATTCAACTTAAGAACACACCTACAGAACCTCTCTTGTTTGTAACCTGGGGACTGTGTGTACTTTTCACCCCAAACTCCAGTGGGGTTTACAAAAGTAAATAAAAGCAAACAAGCGTTTTTTTGGTTGCATAAATATCCACTCTCTGAATCAATAGCTGGTAAGAGCACTGTTGGCAGCCATTACAAATATGAGTCTTCTTGGAAAAAAATCTCTATGCACTTTAAGCATCAGGATCTTGCAATTTTGCCAAATTCTTGGAAAAAATGTACTATATATTTGGATGGACCGTATTGGTGAACAGCAACTTTTATAAGTTGGAGTGAGAGCAAGATTTCAGTCTTTCCTGGACTCTCCAGTGTTATCTTGTGTGTTCAGAGCAATTATCCTGCTGAAAAGTGAATCTCCAACTAGTCCCAGGTCCCAGGTCCCTTACAGAGTAAAACACCTTTTCCTCTAGGATAACACTATATTTTTTCTCCATTCATTTTGGCCTAAATTCTGCCAGCTTTTTAGTCCCTGCTCAGATTATAAATAGACTATAATATTTACACATTAGTTACAATATTTACACATAAAATAGATAGTAGATTTGGAGCAGAAAGGTATGCAAAATCAGGCAAGTCTTCAATATTGTCTAAAAATAAAAATGGTTGGTGCACATCTGATATCAGATGGTTGATTCCACATAGAAAGTGCTATTTCCCTGCTTCAAAGGATGGTGTAGCTGAGATGAGGCTAATGTTCATCACCATCAGCTACCATGACATAATCCAACAGGGTTAGTTTTGCTACAAGTACAGCCAGCACTCTGTATTTACAAGTTTAACTTATGTGGATTTCATTAGTAATAGGTTTAATTCATATGTTCAAATTAGGAATCTCCAGGTCCTCTGTGGTTAACTTCTGTCAGTGCCCTACTGGAGGGCCTAAAGATTCCTAGAGAAAACACTTCACTGGGCATTTATGGTAATGGTGGCGATGGTATTTGTTATCCACCTCTCCTAACAGCTCAAGGTGGGGTACAACACAGTTAAAAGTATCAGAATAAAATATATAACAAAAATGCATACACTAAAACACACCACCACAAAATGCATATGTTAAAACACTATAAAATATATATTTAAAATTCAGCATTGTAGGTCCTCCACTGGAATTCTGTGATCATCTGTTTCTTCCATAGTTGGAAACTCACTGCAGATTCACAGCCAATGACTCCTAGAACACAATCAGTCCATGTATTAGCGCTGTCACAGTTGATACAGATTCAGTTGATGCAAGTATGGAATTTCTTTATCCAGTTATAGTATACATTTCCAATTTTTCAGTCCAAGGATGTGGCCAGACTCCTTGGAAAAATGTCTGCCGTGTGTACTGGTACAAGCAGCTTGCTAAAGGGATAGAGAAGAGAATGGGCAAGTAGTGGAACAATGCAAAAAAAAATGTTAAAACTGTCACAACCTCAAATGGGGTTGTATTAATGAAAAATTGAGGTCACAAAAACAGGCAGCAGTAAAAGGTTTCTGAAAATCACATACTGGCTGTTTTAGATATTTGCACGAATCTGTTAGCAGTAGCCTGCAGTACTTATTGAGGACTCTGCTGAAAATGCTTCAGCTGTACTTTATGGAAATGCCAATTTTGCTTGATAGCTATCCTTTCAGTTTATATGTATACCAAATAATTGGTTTAAAATAGTTTTTGTGATTCATTATCAGCAATTGTTTTATTTTCATATCTAGTGTGTATACCTGTATACCTGGGGTGGCACAAAAAATTCTCACGAGGAAAGGGATTGCAGGTGTAAGAAGTTTAGGCAGCCCTGGCACAGTGAAACCCTCTTTCAAAGGGCAGAAGCAAAACCTATGCTTTTGTGGTTAACCTCAGCAACATGGAGTGGACAAAGGATTAGGGGAAATCCAACCCCAAATAAGGAAACAAATTGTCTGGGAATACCTGGCCACTCTAAACAAATTCAAGTCTCCAGGGCCAGATCAACTACATCGAAGAATATTGAAGGAACTAGCAAAAATTATTTCAGAACCACTGGCAATCATCTTTTAGAGTTCTTGGAGAACGGGACAAGTCCCAGCAGATTGGAGGAGGGCAAATGTGGTCCTAATCTTCAAGAAGAGAAAAAAGGATGACCCAAACAATTACCGTTTGGTCAGCCTCATGCTGATGCCAGGCAAGATTCTGGAAAAGGTAGTTAAGGAAGTGGTCTGCAAACACTTAGAAACAAATGCTAATACCTGGTTGCTAAAACACTGATTTATCAAAAACAAAACATGCCACACTAAACTGATCTCTTTTTTCGATAAAGTTACAAGCTGGGTAGATGTAGGGAATGCCATGGATGTAGCATATCTGGATTTCAGTACGGCTTTCCACAAGGTCCATGACCTTCAGGCAAACAAATTAGTCAAATGTGGGCTCGGCAAAACTACGGTTAGGTGGATCTGTAATTGGTTAAGCGAATTAACCCAGAGGGTGCTCATCAATGCTTCCTCTTCATCCTGGAAAGAAGTGACGAGTGGAGTGCCGCAGGGTTCCATCCTGGGCCCGGTCCTGTTCAACATCTTCATTTTTTTTTTTGGTCGTGTCAGGCATGACTTGAGAAACTGCAAGTCGCTTCTGGTGTGAGAGAATTGGCCATCTGCAAGGACGTTGCCCAGGGGATGCCCGGATGTTTTTGATGTTTTTTACCATCCTTGTGGGAAGCTTCTCTCATGTCCCCACATGAGGAGCTGGAGCTGACAGAGGGAGCTCATCCATGCTCTTTCCGGATTCAAACCTGCGACCTGTTGGTCTTCAGCCCTGCCGGCACAGGGATTTAACCCACTGCGCCACCGGAAGCTCAACATCTTCATTAATGGCTTAGAGAAGGCCTAGA